CCTCTGCCTCCATAGTGCTGGGATTAAAGGCGTGCACTACCACCGCCTGGGAGTCATTGATAAATTTAATAAGGGCCTGAGTCTTATTAGTTTACCCTGATGCAATACCTGGCTACAAGAAGAACCACAAACCGAGATTATCTGAACACCACCCAAAACCAGACCATCCAAAGGAAATGCCTAGCATTCCAACCACTGTAGATAGGACCACCTGCCAGTACACACTCATCAGGGCACCCCTAGTCAAATGTCAGCCAATCAGGGGTCCTGAACCTCAGAAACCCCTCACCCTACTTTTACTACTATAAAACCAAATTCTAACTGAGCTTGGGGCTCTCTGTTTATTCCAATACTTTGTACATGCGAAGAGATCGAGTTTGCAAACTTGCATAAAATAAAGGCTCTTCGCTTTTATATACGGAACTTGTTCTCCATGTTGGCTTTTGTGGAGACTTTGTGGATTTGGGCAGAACATTGTCTACAGGAAACTCATCTTATAAGCATCTTATAGTGAAGAAAATTGATAAAAATACACCAATGAAATGGGATCAGAGAGCAAGCAAGTATCAATATCTAAGACAGATTAAATCAGTCAAATTATACAATTAGAAGAAATAAAGAGGGATGCTCTATTTTCTATTTTAGTCAAGATGAAAGACCACCGGTGTGGGGAGACTCTCACTCAAGTCTCAGGATGACACGACCCCCCAGTAATTCACGAGAGACCATCCTTGCTGCAATCACACGAGGTTTTAATGATTAGATGAGACGAGAACCAGTGCACTGGGGCCGAGACTCATAACCCACGCAGGGGGAGAGTTCGACCCCGAGTGGCCCGGGAGAAGCGATTTTTAAGGGAAGAAACCACAGCCCAGTGATCCGGAATTGGCAGGGAGGGTGTCACAGAAAATTCCGAAAATACCAGTGAAGATCACAAGGGGGCAACTCCCTGCCTCTCAGGACCACTCCCAAAGTCATAACCAGCTAGTTCCTAAAACACAGTCACTAAACTGGCTAATGCTAGATTCCTGATTCTTCTCATCCTGATTGGATTTTTGGCTATTTTCTTCCTTCTGGGGAGGTCTGGATTTACCCAGGTCTGTCAAAGACAACAGTTAACCAAGAAGACATGAATATTCCAAAAACATACACAACAAGCACTGGGCTACTAAATTATATTTTAAAAAATTTACTGTTAGATTTAAAGACACAGATTGACATCAGCCCGTTAATACCAGGTGATTTCAATACTCTACTTTCTATAATAGTCAGGTTATCTGGACAAAGAATACATCATAATTAATTAATAACAAGAACCAAACGAACCAGCAGTTATCTATAAAATACTCCATCCAAGCACTAAAGAATGTACATTCTACTCAGCAGGAAGCTTTTCTAAAATAAATAATCCTGGAACACATAAAATACATCTTAACAAACTCAGGATAATAGAAATGACTTTGTGTAACATGACTAACTAAAATGTAATTAAGCTTAAATTCCACAGCAAACAATTTCTAGTAAGTACACAAACTAATGGAGAATAAACAACTCATTACTGAAGGATGGCTGGGTAAAAGAAGAATTCAAAATAGCAAATAAAAAAAAAAATTCCTGGAACTAAATGAGAATGAAAGCACAACAGAACAAAAGTCCTGGGATACATTAAAAGCAGTCCTATGGGAGAAATTCACAGTTCTAAGAGCTTCCATTAAAACTCAGAAAGAGCACAAATAAATGATTTAATGATGAAACTTGAAAATTTGACAAAAACAACAAAAATCGCAAATTAGAGTGAAAATTAACGAAATAGACACAAAGACAATATAAAGCAATGAGGAATGTAAGAAAGGGCTCATGGGGAAGATGGGCAAGATTGCCATACTCTTGACCTAATTCACTAAAATAAAAGAGAGAACCCAAATAAACAGGGTGAAAAATGAAAAGAGAAGCATTATAACAGACACCAAAAGAATTCATTCAGAATTTTTTAAGTGAATATATTAAAAACCTGTACTCCTTTAATTTGGAAACTGAAAATAACTTTTAGATTCAGCCTAACTAGTAAAATTAAGCCAAGCCAAGCTGAATAACCTAATAACACAATAGACCCATATTTTCATCAAGATTGAAACAATGGTAAAAAACCCTTCCAATACTACCAAAAAAAAATCTGGGCCAGATAGATTCATCCTAATGATTAGATCTGCTGTGCTGCCCAGAGCCTGCTCTCCCTAGTGTTGCAACTGGTAAAGGGAATAGGGCTGGGGTCAGCTATCTGGTCAGCTGGAGGTGGTAGGACTGAGTGGAGGGCATATTTCCCTTGCCCCCACTACTACACTCATATAAGGAAGGTGGGACAAGCTATGCCCTTCTCACGCCCTCAAGGTGGGCCACCTGTGCCCCTGTTTAAAAATGTCAATTTCCTGTGGTGCCCAGGTGAGGCATAGAGCCGGTTCTCCTGAGTGCTACAGTTTGTGAGAGGTTGGATCAGATTCCTCCAACTGCTCTGGAAATGAGGGGAGGCATCTTTTCCTCATCACATTGCAGGCATGACCTCCTCTTCTGTTCTCATGTTCTCAGGGCCAACTCACCCGTGCCCCTCTGAACTTCATTGTGCCACCCAGATGAGTTGTAGGACCCTTTTTCCAGAGTGCTTCAACTAGTGATGTTGCAGCCAGTGAGGGGCAGGGACAATGCTATGCAGCCCTTTCCTCTGGACCTTCAGTGATATCAAAAGCCATGGACAACAACACAAACTGCAGCTACATCAGAGCCACCCAATCATGAGTCCTGGAAACAGGCCCAGACCATGGCCTTCGGTGGCAATCAAGTCGCACAACTCAGCCAGCTCCTCACCACTTTCACCTCTACAGGTATGTCCCTCTCCACAGGACATGAACCATTTTTTCTCCCCATTCTCTCCCATTTTCCCATATCATGCCATCTATTTATTCATCATAATAGTGCCCATCTGCCTGGTACCATGCTTGGGTTGTTCTGTCCTGCTCAGTGCTTCATGGTCCTGGGCAGGACCCTGCCTTCAAGAATTATAATAGTTCCCAACTGCCCTGTGCCAGAGGCAGTGAACAAAATTCTTCTGTCTCTAAGTATAGAGAACTGGGACAGAGCTATGCTTCTCCTCTGGGGTCCACCGGGCCTAAAAAACACCAGGAAGCTCATGGATAAAATTTATCCTGTCCCAAGAATGCAGTTGTGATGGTCTCCTGAGGTCCACTAGGCCAAGATAAACTAGGAAGCTCACTACTATACATTTGAAGAAGATATATAGCAATACTTCTTAAACTAGTTAACTAGAAATAGCAACAAAATGAGTACTCCCTAAGTCCTGCTATTAAGTCAATATCATTCTAATACAAAATCCTGTTATACACACACACACACACACACACACACACACACACACACACACGAGAGAGAGAGACAGAGAGAGAGAGATTGAAATTGCAGGCCAATATACCAGATGAAAATAGATTTTTTTTAAATGCTCAGTATATTACTTGAAATCAGAATAGAGAAATACCTCAAAAAGCATTATTTGTAACAACTAAGTTGGCTTTCTCCTGGAAATGCAGGGATGGTTTAAGAGATGCAAGTCAATAAATGTAATAAATCACATAAATGAATTTGAAAACAAAAAATACATAATCAACTCACTGGATGCAGAAAAAGCCTTTTCTAAAAATTCATCATGGCTTCATGATGAGAGTCCTGGAAAGAGTATGACTAGAGAGAACATTCCTCGGTGTAATTAAAGCTTTTTTGGAAAAGCCTACTGCCAACCTCATCCTATATAAAGAAAAACTTGAAACAATCCCACTGACATCATGAATAAGTCTACTTATTCAAGTAGTCTATCTAGTACTCTCAACAATTTCAAAATTGTACCCATAGTACCATTTTGAAGGAAGAAATAGAAGATTTGTGAATTGATGTAATTATATAGTAATTTCAAAATTTAAAAAAAAATGTGATAAATTTATCCAACCCTCATCATTCCAATTTGTATAAATTGTCACCTTTTCGAAAGGTAGTAGAGGAGCTCAATAAAAAGAAAAAAGGTAGTGGATGAAATACACAAGGTGATGGGTGTTGAGGGGGTTGCCTAGCTGAAAGCCAGCTGAGGCAGGTTCCCCTTTTCCATTTGGTCCTTGAAAGATACGTCTTCCTGTAGCTTAGAAAGTATGTAACAAGGGCTGTGGCCATAGATTAGCCCATGTTCCTGCTGTGTAAGTATGAGGACCTGAGTTAAGGTCCCAGTGCCCACATAGAAAGCCAGACATTGTGGTTCACATCTGTGACCCTAACTCAGAGGGGTAAAGTGCAAGACAGAAGCTTTCTGTGGTTCACTGAGTACCCTGACTAGCCAGCTGGTGAGTTTTGGGTTCCCTAAAATGCTGTATCAAAACATTCCGTGGAGAGCAATGAAAAAGCTACCTCAATATTGTTCTCTCCTCCAATGGCTACGGGTGTATGACTTGGGTATACATTCAAATGCCCACATAAGCACTCAAAAAATGAAAAACTAAATAAGACTGTGAAAGAATAAACAGCTTTCCACAGAGGCCGCTCCAATTTCATTACACTCTGCATTTGTTCTCCTTTGGAGTCAGTAACTCCAGAGTGAGTATTTACTTCTAGGCTGGCTTTTCTAGGCTCTCTCCTGTTACCCACTATTATATTTCACATCAGTGTGAAGTTTTTACTGTTTGAAACGCTGCTCTCCTATGGACGCATTGTGTGAGATGAAAATGTTTTTACGATGCCAGTGACCATACTGTAGTAGGATGGTTGAACTCTTACACCTGAAAGAAATAGTTTTAAAATACTTGGCACCATGGAGCCAGGGAAATAACTCAGTGGATAACCTTGCAAACATGAGAATCTGAGTTCAGATTCTAAGATTCCATGTGAAGGCATATGTTTAGTAATGGTTGTAATTCTAGAATTTGTGTGGTGAGATGAGAGAAGACACAAACAATGAGGAAGCTTTTGAACAGTTGGCTCGGCAGATGTAAGGTGAGGACTAACCAGGGGCGCAGCAGATATAGGGTGAGGGCTGACCAGGGGCTCAGCAGATGAAGGGTGAGGAATGACCAGGGGCTCAGCAGATGAAGAGTGAGGACTGACCAGGGGCTCAGCAGATGAAGGGTGAGGACTGACCAGGGGCTCATCAGATGAAGGGTGAGGGCTGACCAAGGGCTCAGCAGGTGTAGGGTGAGGGCTGACCAGGGGCTCAGCAGATGTAGGATGAATTATAAGCAGCAGAGAAGGCTCTCTTAAACAATGTCAAAGGTGAGGACTAATATCTGAAGTTGTCCACTAGGATTTTATTATTGTTAATGCACTAGACTTTACCCAGTTTCTGAGGGTTTGAACTCAGGTACTAGTCCTTTTAGGAGAAGTGATTTAATCACTGAGCCATCTCTCCAGCCCCCAAAAATTAGAAAAAAAATTCCTAATTATCAAAACAGCAGTGATAAGGAATTTGGGATTGTTTCATTGTTTAGATTGGAACTCTGAAAAAGCATGTAGAGCTCACTCTACTTTTCTTAATTATGGAATGTGATCATTTAAATGCATGGGGGCTCATGGATACTTTACCACCTCACAAATCAGTATAATACAAATTAGAGAATCAGAGAGAGGCACAAGAAGCAAAATAAGTCTTGGCATATGGAAAAAAAATAGTAGCAGTGATTCTGAAGTAAGGAAAGTTCTCTTGAAGAAAACAAAAAAGAAAGAAAGAAAGAAAGAAAGAAAGAAAGAAAGAAAGAAAGAAAGAAGGAAAGAAAGAACCATTTGTAAGGTATTTCAAGCAGAGAAGTGAGGGTGGTAAGTCATTGACTCCTTTGAGGACTTCTTTCTGACACAATCCCAGGTGAACTAGGGTAGCACCAGTCAAGTTGATACTGTGCTAATTTGCTATCCATAAAACAAAATAGTAAAGTATTACTTGCATACAGAGTCAAAAAGTAAAATAAAATTAACTGAATATTAGTGGAGTAATAATATAAAAGATACCTGTTCTGATTCCCCTACTTTGGCCCAATAAATGTAACTAAACCCATCATGAGACTTACTCATGGAAAATTTTTCTAACTATTTTTTCTGATCTTTTTATAAATAAATAGATAGATAGACAGACAGACAGACAGACAGAGATGATAATGTTAAGTCTGGAGCATAGTCCTAGCCCCTGGCATCTATCCCAGCCCCCTGACCTGGGAGTTGCATTAGTCTGGACTACAAATCCCAGCATGCCAAGTCCTGATCTCTCCCTGGGGGAGGCTCAGGACCACTCCCTCAGGGTATGTAAGTGGGCTCCCAGAGGAGAAACATGCAGTACCAGGTTTTGATGGAGGAGGGTCATCTGTCTATGTGTTACTTTCATTGGTTAAAAAAAAAAAAAAACTGCCTTGGCCCTTTGATAGGGCAGAAAATTAGGTAGGCAGAGTAAACAGAACAGAATGCTGGGAAGAAGGCAATGAGGCAGATGCTATAGTTCTCCTCTCTAAGATGGACTCAGGTTAAGATCCTTCCTGGTAAGCCACCACCTCGTGATGCTACACACATTATTAGAAATGGATTAATCAAGATTAATCAAGATATGACAGTTAGCCAAGAAGAGGCCAGATATAATGGGTCAGGCAGTGTTTAAAAGAATGCAGCTTCTGTGTAATTATTTTGGGTAAAGCTAGCCAGTGGCCGGGAGCTAGGTGATGGGACGTGACCTGCCACTTCTTCTACAAGGCTGGCATGTGCTTCCCACTTTCCTATCTTCCGGCCATGTGCTCGGCCACCCAAGAGTGCTATATTTAATAAAACGACGGGCATTTTAATTTGGCTTGATCTGACCTAATTGGATTTCTTTGCACTGGCGGAACTGCCCATCTCAGGAATTTTTTTCCTAACAGATAACATAAGGAAACAGCTATGATATATAAACATATAGAAATAAAGAGATTTCTAGATTTTGTCTACAGTGCATTCATTGCTATATTTCTCTTTCTTCCTTTCTTTATATCATAATTTCATTCCTATTGTTTTTATTATAGAAAAATATCTGACACAAGCCAACTTAAAAATGAAGGGGAGCTGGGTGGTAGTGGCATATGTCTTTAATCCCAGCACTCCGCGAGGTCAAGGCAAGAGAATCTCTGTGTATGAAGCCAGTTTAGTAAATAGAGTGAGCTCCAAGACAGTTAGTGCTACTCAGAGAAACCCTGTCTTGAGAAACAAAAAAAAAGAGAAGGAATTTACTTCATCTTATAATTCCATGTTAGCATCTGTCCTCATTGGGGCACTTAGAAAAACTTTTAAACAGCGAGGTATTATATCTACAGTCCAGAGCAGAGAAAGAATACATGAAATATTTCCTTGCTTTCTTTCTTCTATCTTATACAGTTCAGGACTTCCTGCCTAGGGGATAGTGCCACTCACAATGGACTGTAGCCTCCCATACCAATCAACTTATTGAGAAAGTGCCCATGGACATCCCCACATTCACTCCAATGTCGACAATACCTCACTAATACCCCCTTCCAAAATGATATGTTATATCATGTTGACAAATCTAACAATTACTACAAGCCCATGTCAACTTGACATGCAAACACATCTCTTTTAAACCATAAGTTTCATCTTTTTATTTCCAGTCCCATTTTCTTCATAATATAAAGCATGGTTCTACCGTAAAAGCCCAAATCTTTTTTAAAATCTAAAGTCTACTAAAGATAGCTTTCTACAAAATTAAAAACAATTTACATACCCCCAGCATATGATGACACAGCGTAACACATTTATCTTCCCAAAGGGAATAACGAACATTATGAGGAAGAATCCAATCAAACAAAATTAAAATCCAGCAGGTAATTACAAAATCCTGTAGACCAATGTTTAGCATCTGGGCCTCAAAGCCTCGCCTGCCCCTCCAGGTGTTCTGCTTGCAGCACATAGCTTCTGCATTGTGTTTAGGTGGGCTTCACGCTAAACGTGTAGCTCTCCGGGGTGGGTGCCTCAACAGTCCTTACATCTCCTGCATTCTGAGGTCTCCAATGCAACTAAGATTGTACCTTAGCTCTAGAAAATAGTCATTAATGTATTTATCATCCTCTACTTATTGACCTACAAATCTGTTATCTATTTATCAATTACTTACCTATTATCATGTATCTATCTTCTCTTGTCCATTATCTATCTTCCAATTTAATAACATATATTCACACATATATACATATATATACATCATACATGATTCATTTTTACAGATTCTAGTTTAGACTTTTACCTCAGAATGATGGCACTGAGGATTTTTTTTCAAAACGAATTATTGTGAAGACAATGGCCCCAGGGCATACTTCTCCCCACCTCTGCTGTCATTCTTCAACAAAGAAGCTAGAAAGGAGTTAATCGTCTGCTTTCACCATCTCCCACAGTGGGGCATCTCTGTTCCTATATCCCTGGTCTCTTGTGTTAGATATCATCTTACAGGTTACGCTCGCCTTCCTTTCTTTTCTGATAATGCTCTAACAGACACTCTGATAAGTGCTCTTCCCTGAACTTTCAGTAATGAGATGGCATCATCTGTGAAGTTACCTGATTTCCACTAAAGAGTGAGTATGGACTTTGAAGATGTCTGTGACAAGCAAACAGAAAGGGACCAGTTAGGCTTTCTCCTGTGTAGTTTTACTGCCCATATCTTCTTACTGACCTTTCCAAGATCAATCTTAGCTCTTTTGTCCTTTGAAATAAGACTCATAAGCATCTTTGCTTGCTTAACCAGATGCTGCCTTCTTTTTCTTTTTCCTTTCCTCTTGTTTTTGGTTTTGTTGTTGTTTTGGCATGGGGTTTCTCTATTTAGCACCTCTAGCTCTCCTGGAACTAACTCTGTAGACCAGGCTGGCATCCAACTCATAGAGATCTGCCTGTCTCTGTCTCCTGAGTTTTGCGAATAAAGGTGTGTGCCATCAATACCTGACAGGTGCTACTTTTAAAGCAGAGATCTACAACACCATAAAATCCATCTTGGGATGTTGAACAATTTGTTTGACTTCTTCCTTTGGTAACTACTGGACTCTATGGACCTAAATCAGAGTTGGCTTGAGACAATGGATCATTCACTCATTCATTCATTCATTCATTCATTCAGTGTAAGTGTGAGGAAGTCCTTCTGTGCTACATACTGTGGTCCTACTGTGGTGACAAACACTGAGTAGCCATATCTACAAGTGCTCTATAAGCCTGTCCAAATAAAAGTAAATAGTTACAAAACTGGACAATTAGTCAATGCCTAATATATGTTCTAAAAGAAGGGAAATTGTTCATTTGTTAGAGTACTGGCCTGGTAATCATGGGCACTTTTCTAGAACTCACAGAATAAAGAAAGCTTATAACACTAGTGTTGAGAACAGGTGTATTCCTGGGGCTCTCTTGACAGCCACGGTAACTTTCTTGGTGAGTTGCCAAACTGTCAGAAATGTTGGCTCAAAAAAACAAAGATACATAGCTTTCCAGGAAAGACACTTAAGATTTTCTCTGGCCTTCACATGCATGTATACAAATGTGTACATTCATTCCCACACTCATGTACACCCTCACACAGGTATCATGTACACACACATACAAACATGCACACACACAGAGACACACATGAAAAGCAAGTGCCCTAAATTTCAGGTAAATAGTCACAAAGATCCTATTGGAGTTAGAAAAGGCTGACACACATTGCTGCAGGACGGTTTCTGGAAGATGCACTTTAGCCTGAAGCTAAAGCATAAAGAGTCAGAGAATTCAAAGGTGGGAGCGGCACAAATGAGGCTGAAGAAAAGTCAGGATGGAGGAACGGTCTTTTCAAGCTTCACACAGGAGAACATGGATTCACATGCCTGAATTGGAGAGATGAAGAAAGTGTGGAATATATACACATTAGAGTACTATGCTGCGGTAAAAAACAATGACTTCTCGAATTTTGCATGCAAATGGATGGAAATAGAAAACACTATCCTGAGCGAGGTAACCCAGACCCAAAAAGATGAACATGGGATGTACTCACTCATAATTGGTTTCTAG